CGGGTGGGCTCCGACAGCCTGGGAGGGACCCGCGGCACGAGGAGCACTTGGGGAATTCCTCCTGTGTCTCCTGGGCCGGTTATTTATAGGAATCCCCGATTCCACGGGCTCCAGCTGCCTGCGGACGGCACAGCGACCCCCTCCCCAGCAGGGATTCCTCAGCATCCCCTCCATCCTGTGCTCAGCAGAGACTGCTGAACATACTCTTCAGCCTCTGAACAGCCTTGAGAGTGACACACAAACGCCACAGGTGAGCTCCCACGTGTGGAACAGCCCCAGCAATTCCCAGGAACAGTCCAAGCCACACTGCAGAGCTGAGAGGAGCCCAGAAGGCACAGACAGCCCTGGGTGGGTGTTGGACACATGTGGGCTCCTGACACCCCTTTTCCAACAGCCACCACCAGCAGCCAGTGCTCCACCCCAGCCAGGGTCGAGAGGGCTCTTCAGGTGAGAGAACACCTGTCTGAGGGCCCCACTGTCCTTTTTCTGCTTCCCACCCCAACACTGACCCCAGGGCATGAGGAAAGGGGCAGCTTGACCCCACAACCAGCATCTGCCCAGGTCCAGCTGCAGCCCTGAGGGCCAAAAGCAGCTCTGAGCCCCTGCAGGCTTGGGAGGAGTGGTGCAGGTAGACAGAGCTGGTTTCCTAGATCACAAAGTTCCTTTCATCCCTGTCAGCATCTGCTTTCATCCCAGGAGCAGCTGCTGCCAGTGCCAAACCCAGCCCAGTGGCTTTTTATTCACTTCATATTTATTTGTCACAAAGACTGTACAAAATTCTTATAAAACTCTGGTGTGGGGATGGGCTATGACATTGATCCAAAAAATAATTCCCATGCAGTCCCACCAGTTCCATAACTTACAAGAGAACAGATAAGCTACAGAGAGCTGCGAGTCCTGGAGTATTTACACCGAGGGAGGGCAGGAACAGGAGACAAAGCAACACTTTGACGAGAGAGGTATTTACAGCATGGACACACAGGCCCCCCCTCACCTCATGGAACAGCAGGTCAGGCCCACGCTGCCCCGAGGCCGACAGGGCTATTTACAGTATCTCACATATTAACAGCTTTACAAAGGGGAGTTCTTCTCATGTATATATATAAAAAAAAAAAGAAAAAAAAAAAGCACCAAGTGTCTGGATAAGAAGTCACGGGGGGCCTCCACGGGGGCTAGAATGCAAAGGCTGGCTGGCACCGGCGGCGTCACCGGCTGATGTCCCGGCTCGAGTCCCACAGTTTTGTGCTGGGCTCCATGCCCAGCAGGTCAAAGAAGGGGTGTTTGAGGGCCTCGGCCAGGGTGACCCGCTTGGACGGCTCGTACTCCAGCATGCTCTCAATGAGGTCGAACAGGCGGTGGTGGTCCTCGGCCTCCGACGTCAGGTAGCGCTGGGGGGCGGAGGGGACAGGTCAGGGACGGCCTGGGACATCCCCTGGGCTAAGCTGGGGCCACCCCTCAGTCCAGACCTCAACTCTGGGCTCCTCTATCCGGGACAGAACCGCCGGGTTTTCACCCACCCGTGCCCTTCCCCACTTCCTGAACTCTCCATGTCCTCCTCCTCTTCCACTTCAGATTAAACTCAGGCTTCCTAGTTTATTCCAAGGTTCTCTCAGGAAGACACCAGCCTGAGCCTTTTGCTGGCCTGAGCTTGCCCAGAGGGAGAATCTCTGCACTGAGGAGGGGCTGCTGCCCACCCTCCTTACCCGCAGGGGTTTGCAGTTCTCCCGGACGTAGCGTCCGGCCGAGGTGTTCTCGTCCCAGTCCAGGCGCCCGTGGTAGAAATACTTCTGTTTCCTGTCGGAATAACAGGTGGGAACAGGTTACACCTGAGCACAACACACCCTGCAGCAACAGCAGCGTGCCAGCCCTGGCAGGGCACACGGCTCGGGGCACCAGCACGGCCAGGGGACCCAGGGAATTCCCCCTCCAAAGTGGGATCCCTCAGGGAAAACCACTGCCTGGGAGGCAGGAGAGGCTGCAACACCTGCAGGGCCCTTGCTCACCTCGTCTTCCTGACCATCCGAGAAGGAATTGGCCCCAGGATCCTCTCCATCATGGCCAGGTGCTCCCGGTTGTCGTGTGTCTGAGAGAGAGAAATGGAAAGGGAAGGCATGGAACAGATTCCAGTGGTTCTGCCTCCAGCCCTGGCTACTCCCCCCACCCAAAACCCCTTCCTGGCCAACACTTCTCCAGGACAGCAGTGATGGAGAGACCCCCATCAGCCCCAGGGGCTCTGGGCTGTGCTGGGAATCAGCCAGAATCCTCTCTCACCAGTTGGGAAGTAGCCACACCACCCGGAGTTCTCACCTGGAACAGGGTGAAACCCACATAATACTCAAAGATGATGCAGCCAATGCTCCACACATCACAGGGCTGGCTCCAGCCAAGCTCTGAAAAACAATGTTGTTTAAATAAATGATCCAGTTATGGCACAGGATTTCAAATCCCCCTTTAAAAAACAAACAGCTGGAAAAAGAGTTCCCATT